CCCCCCCCCCCCCCCCTCCCCCAAATAAATAAATAATAAAATTCAAGAATGAGATTTTAAGCCTATACATGTTTCATTTTACTATTAATTAACATCGTACTAATCAAGTAGCTAGGTCCATTGAGCAATCTGTGCATTACAGAATGATCGAAACTTACTAGGAGACATTGTATAATTTACAAATATTTCATTTTAGGTGGTGCATAGTACTGATGTGGAGTTTCTATTCTATATATAGACAAAATAAGTAGAATATTTCGTGTTGAATGGTAAGATAGTATGATGATGATGATAGGAGAAAATTTGGATACCGCTAGAAGTGAGTTTCTCCATCTTTCTGATGACATGAAAGAACAGTAGGAACTCTCCCCATTCTCCCTCCTTCGCCCAAGCGAGTATCATCCACATGGAAGATAGAAAGATAAAAATGTTTTCTATTGCTATAAAGAATATGAAAAGAAGACCCTTTTTTTTGTACCCGTGACCTTTTATTTTGCTTAAAATGTGTCTGTCTTAATATGTTTTGCTCCAGAATTGTCATTAAATTGTGCTTCTCAACATGCTAACATCCACTGCTCTTCGATGTTGTTTTAATTGATGCAGAGCAATTCAGAGATCAAATTGTTACCATAATGAAGGGCATAAAGCTTCTTGTAACTACGGGATTACTTATTACATGCTTGCATTTGGAATTATCCAGGCCATCTTGTCTCAAATACCTGATTTTCAGAGTACTGAGTGGCTCTCTATCGTTGCGGCAATCATGTCCTTTTCGTACTCTATGATTGGATCGGCACTTGGCTTGGCAAAAGTAATAGGTAAGTTGGGAATATGAAAAAACGCGACTAGAATTTTTTATGAAGTGCAACATTCGTAAGTTTTCTGATCGCTTAACCTTATTTTATAGAAAATGGAGAAATAAAAGGTAGCATTGGAGGAATACCGACTTCCACTACTACTGAAAAAGTATGGGCAATTTCTCAAGCGCTTGGCGACATTGCCTTTGCGTTTCCGTTCTCTCTTATTTTCCTAGAGATACAGGTATCAAAATTTACTTCTGTACCTAGAATATCAATACAAATTCTCAAACAGCATTAAGCAGTAGTAATAAATGGTTTAATTTCATAATACGTATAGGATACTCTAAGGTCCAATCCACTTGAAAGGGTCATCATGAGGAAGGCATCAATTATGGCTGTCTGCGTCACAACTTTTTTCTACCTATGTTGTGGAGGGCTTGGGTATGCAGCTTTTGGGAATTCGACCCCCGGGAACCTTTTAACCGGATTTGGTTTTTACGAGCCATACTGGCTTGTTGACTTTGCTAATGCTTGCGTCGTTCTTCATCTTGTTGGAGGATATCAGGTATTTGATTTTTCGATGATCTTGTATGCAATTATCACTCAACAATGTTACCACATTTTATCCTTCTTGTTAGAATTATGAGCATGTTTGGCTAGGACTTAATAAAAAAAAAATGTGTAGTTTCTGCACAAGTTTTTGTGCCAGAAAAACTTAGCCAGACATGCTTAATTAGTCTTGAGTAATACTTTAACCTTTCTTCCAAATATGTATCAATAGGTATACACTCAACCACTCTTTGAGAATACTGAAAGATGGATTATAAAGAAGTTTCCCGACCGAAAAATATTGCATGAAGATTACACTCCAAAACAAATACCGCGTCTAAGACTAAATCTTTTGAGGCTGTGTTTCCGAACTGCTTATGTTGCATTAACCACGGGATTCAGCACACTTTTTCCATACTTTAACCAAGTAGTCGGGGTGGATGAAGCAATCACCTTCTGGCCTATAGTTGTACATTTCCCTGTGGAAATGTACTTGGTGCAGAAAAATATTGGACCTCTGACAAAGAAGTCGATAATTCTTCGAGTATATAGTTTTATTACATTGATCGTGATACTATACGCCTTTGTTGGCTCAATCAAGGGTTTGATAAAAGCAAAATTGAGTTGAGAATTACTTATTTTTACATTCTGATATGGGTTAAAACCAAATTGCTCATGTCAAAGTGAGTTTTTGAGGCCTATACAGGGAAACTGAAACATGAAGCATGGTAGAATAAGCTGTTGGAAAATTACACCGATATTATGCATATTATATTTACAAAATCATGACGTTTATTTGCGTGAAATCAAAACGCATTCCAACTTATTGAAATTGGATTTGATAAGGCAAAATGAGAATTTACCGATTTTGAAGAATATGAATGTGGAACATTCTCTTTCGATTCTTGAACGATTGAACCGATTTCGAAGAATATGAATCTTTCGATTCTTGAACGATTGAACCTTGCAATATAAATATATAAATTAAATTAATCATTTTCTGAAATCAAATCATAATAAAAAGAAATCAGAAAATGAGGATGAAGATGCAAGTGATGAATTTTTGGCTGAGGTAAGTGTTGGACACTTTGTTCTTAAGATGAATTTGTCTCGCATCGGTGCTAACGATTTTCCGACAATTATCTCCCAAAATACAACGACCACGTCGAGCCATAGGAGCAATCCAAATGACTTCGACCAGCGAACTCGAACGGAATTCCTTCTTTACCATGACCATGACCATGACCATGACCATGACCATGACTTTGATGCAAATGTTTTATACAAAACCAAAGTGCAAATTGGAATGGAATGATATGATATTTATGACTTTTCTTGAATGAATAAAATTCAAATACGTGGGGTCTATATATATAGCAGTTGGAAATGTATATCAAAAGACACAACTATACCAAGAGACACATCTCTTGAAATTCATAATTATTGGACATTAATTATACCCATACCAAGAGTCATGATTTTTCATACGAAAAGTCACATTTTTTCCTCCATATATTTTTAGAATATTCCACAATATTCTATACGATTTTTTCAATAATTTTCAGTATTTAAGTAGTTTACATTTGGCTTAATTTCTCATTCACCAAATAACGAATTTCACTTAAATAATTACTTCAAATTGGTCACAACCAATTTTCGATAAAAAAAAATTCAAACGTAAGCCTTCATCGGGAAACATTTGTTCACGTAATGTGATTGGAATCTGATCAGGCCCGCCAATTATTTCATAAAGGGGGCCTCAAAATAGGGGTATGGGAAAAATTTATAGGTCAGACATTAAGTATGAGATAATTCAATTCTCAAATTTAAAGTTTTAAAATTCAAAACTCAGGTATTAAGTAACTAATTAAAAATATTTTATAATTAAATATATTAAGATAACAATTATACAATTACTAATCATAAGTACATATTTATAGATCACAATTTATTTATTGATTACATATTATCAAATTAAATGGTCATGGATTATTTTATAGTCGCAATAGAATTTTTTGATAAGTTACAATTTATTTAATTGGTCATAAATAAAAAAATTTATAGGCCAAAATTTATCCGTTGGTCCCAAATTTTTAAATTAGTTTGTCACTTTATTTTTCAGTCACAAATTATCGAATTTTTAGGTCATAAGTAAATAGTGGTCACAAATTACTAAATAGTTGATTACATACTAAAAATTTGGTCACATACCATCACCACCAACACTATAACAGTCGCCACCCCCATGGCCACTTGCGATCACTACCACCAATGCAGCCCTACTTGAGACCACTACACCCGTCGTCGCTGCCACCTGACAATTACAAAATCACCTACACATCACAACAATCGCAAAAAACACCACCACAGCAACCATCGACCACACAGACCATTATAACCATTTGAGAAATCAAACTCAGAAATTAAACAAGAAAAAAAAAGAAGAAGAAGAAGAAGAAGAAAATAAAAGATCTGCGCCACCATGGATCAACCACTGTTAGATTAGAAGCAATGATAATGGGCGCTCTGTCGTCACAGCACTCCAGATCCTAGTAGAAAGGATAGATAGATGGATAGAAAGGATAGAGAAGAGAGGAGAATGATGTTATTGGAATCATTGATTCTAGTGATCTCAAGCGCTTGGGGACATAACCTTTGTTTTACCATTTTCTGTTATTTTCCTAGAGATACGGGTTTGAAATTTTACTCCTATAACAAGAACAATCAATGCATGTGTAGTACGCACTATTTGAACTATATAATATGTGCAAGATACTCTGAGGTCTAATCCACCGGGAAAAAAGTGATCAATTATGGCAATATGTATCACAACTTCCTTTTGTGGAAGGCTTAAGTGTGCAACTTTTGGGAATTCAACCCCCAGGAACCTTTTGACGGGATTTGGTTTTTACGAGCCGTACTGGGTCCTTGACTTTGCTGATGCCTGTGCCATTCTTTGTCTTGTCGGAGGATATCTGACAGTCGTCTTTTCTCTTAGAACCCAAGTGTGTTTTGATCAGCTCAAAAGGTTTACTTATACGAAAATAAATAAGTTTTTTATTGGTAGAAGTTGGAAATGACTAAATTACTTATTTTGAGAATAAGGTAAAGTTACTATCAAAATAAGTTTCTTAATAAATTTTGTACGTGGAGTGATGCTTTAGCCTTTCTTTGGAATATGCATGGTTAGGCATTCAGTCAACCACTTTTTGCAATTATTGAAAGATGGACTATCAAGTAGAGAACTGGATGAGAGGATATAGTAATATTTAAATATGTTTTAATATTTTTAAATCAGTGTTATGTAATATCGATGTCATTATTAATTAGTTATGTTATTTGTGATTTCTCTTGTCCAATGCTCGATGTGTCACACAAGAATTACTTATCCTCGTGAAAAGTAGTGTTATAAAAGATTTATCTCAAGTGGAAGTTTGGTTGATTGAGTGAACGTGAGGTGAGATCCGGTTCACGAAAATTAGACGATTTCATAAAAGTTTGAAAAGAAGATTACCAAAAAATAAAAATATAATAATAATAAAAAATAATAATAGAAAAAAATAAGTGAACACCCAAATTGCCACAGCTGCATATCATGTCATATTTGGATAAATTTGATATTAAAAAATAGAACTTTATAGGAACCCTTAGCCTATGTTTGGTTTTTCTAAAATTTAGCTAATTATCAGATATTTTGAAACACACATTTATAATGAAATATTTGAGTCATAACAAACTTGGTCGTGGTAGGACTTTGACAATCAATAGTATGTCTAACTTTCATTTATGAAATGTTGCCCCCCGGGGTACATCTCAATTGGCAAAAGACGGAATTCTTCAAGGCAGGCAGTTCAGAGGTCGCAGGTTCGATTTATGGGACTTTTGGAAGGCAAAGCTTTCTTTTGGAAGGTAGGATATTTTTTGGAAGGCAGGAGTTCTTTGGAAGGCAAGACGCATACACGGATTTGACTCGATGTGCACTTTAGCAGTTTAGTTGGAGGGGCTCTTGGACCCTGACTAGTTTGGGGCAGAATTCACGATTTATAAAAGAAAGAGGAGAATTGACTTTTATAGAATAGTTTTTTTAGAGAAAAATAAATGGCTACTTCATTCCTTGTCATAAATTGTTTTAAAAAAACATATACAAAGGGCTCCACATATTTATATGATTTTTCTCCAAAAAATGGCAATTAAACAGGAGCTAAATAAATATCAAACGTGCACGTTTTTATATCCTCCATTGGGTCCCACATATATAATTTTAATATAATTGCCTTTTGTCAGCTTGTCTTGTGGAAGAAAAACAACATTCATGGCTTCTAAATAAAGTTCAAATACAATTGTCTTTCCATACATAGACATTTCAAAACCTGGATTGATGTCGGAAATAAACGGAGATGATACGCAGACTCCGTTATTGTACACGAGCTTTTCTTCCGATGAACGGACGATCAATCATTCCCTTAAAAAAGGTATTTCCCTTTCGTCAATAAATTCCTTTATTCTCTCAACTTCTTTGTAGAAGGGAGCTCTCAAGATTGTTGTTTATTCTGATTATGTTTCCATTTTATTCCTGTTTCTTTAATTTCTGAGTACTGAGAGCATGTTGGTTGAGCTTATTTCACTTTATATATATATATTTTTTTAAAGAGAGGACCTTTTAACTGACCACACTTTTAAGCACTGCGAAGCATAAATATAAAGTAATGTTAAAATTTCCAGCTTTGTTTAGTAATATTTTTTCTTTATTTGCTTGCATTTGACATTTGATGTACAATATAGTTGGAAATTAAGGTTGTAATGGGTGTCTCATGTTCGCATTCAACCCACAAGTGTACTATATTGTTATACAAGTAATAAGATTTATCAGTTAAGATTATCGTTCCCATGAAAAATAAGGTCTAATTTGTAGTTTAATAGTTACTATTGAATTCGAAATGTGGTAACATCAAAAGAATTGTGAATCGTTTGTTACTTATTCTAATTCTACTCTAAGAAAGCAACAAAAAGTGATTAAATCTAGTGTGAATATTTGTATTGGATTCATGTATCCCTCTATTTTCATTTATTTTAATTATCAATAATCATTCTATTCAATTCATGCATTTTTTATAATCGATAAAACTAATATGTTAAATGTTCTTTTCCAAGATACATCAACCTATGATCAACATGAGACGATCTTATTCCTAGTTCGAATTCATATGAAGATTTTCATTTAGTTTAGATTATCAATAAAATTGCACGTGTGAGAGAGATTATTCTTAATTCTAATTATAATGTTGATTTTATCTTGTTCTAGACTCATTGTGAGTATTCCTACATTACAGTAAGCAATTAACTGCATAATTGGTGATCAAGCAATAAATAATGCAATAAGTATGGAAAATCAATCAAACTATAATACGAAATTCCTAAATTAAAGTCTTGAATTGAAATAAATGAAAATATGGTCCAAACATTGATATAATAATATAATTGGAAAATCTAGCTAGCCATCCATATTATTAAACTATACAAGAAATAGTGAAAAGACATCACCTAGATCAAGAAATAATGAATGAAATCCAATTTCTTGGCTTGAATCTTGACTTTGGATTAAGGATCTTCAATAAATTTATATAATTTGCCTTTGGTTGATGATTGGACCTTGTTTTTCACCTCCAAAATTGATGAAATGTGTAAAGTTTTAGATCTTCGAAGCTCTCCTCCACATTTTTGATGTGTTATG